TGTAGTGTTGCTTTGAAAATTTATTACTTTTACGTTTAAAAAATAAGGGGGGGGGGGGGGGGGGGGGAAGGCTACTAGCAAGTACTTTCTCTGCTATCTGCAGATTATCACGGTATCTACTTTTTTCTATTTACATGGCATTAACAGTAGTTGAACATCTCCTAGTCGCCCCCTCTGCCTACTTTCCATAGGGTGAGTTGTGGCCCAGGGCAGGGGGCATGTCAGGGTGAACTGAGGAAGCAAAATCATCTCCTTCCTGGTTTGCTGCATCACTTTGGCTTTCATGATTCGACACTTACATTGCCTTTTCTTCTCCTCTGATGTAGTTTTAGAGTCAGCAGTGCAGACTGTCATTTTAACCAAACAAAAAACTAAATCCAACTCCAAAGCAACAGATATCTCCAAGACTGACCCAAGAAACAACAAAGTTGATTTTAAATAAACCTTTGCAGTATAAAAGCACCTGTCTGAGGGATCCATATGTTCATGGGAAAGAGTATCCATCGCAAAATAACATAGGCTGAAAGGACCTCTGGAGGTAACCTTGTCCAGCCCTCTGCTCATAGCAGGTCCCCACAGCTTAGGTCTTTCAGAGCCATACTCACATGAGTTTTGGATATACCCAAGCATGGAGATTACATAACCTTTGTGGCCAGCGGCCAGCCTATTCTGGTGCTTGGCCACTTAATTGTTTAAAAAACAAACCTTACCTATTTTTTTTCCCCTGCACTGCAACAAGTTCGTTGACTTTAATCTTAATCACCATGTTCAGAAGTCTGTGTCCCTCTTTCTTCCCAGTAGATAGCTGCAAACAGCAGTAAGATCTCTGCTGAGTCTCTGTCAGGCTGAAACATGGTTAATGCGAACTGCACTGCATACAGAAGAACTCTCAGCATTTGGTGCCTGGCTCTTTACCAGGAGTGTACGAAAGAAAATATATCTAAACGGGTTTGAGTTCACAGACTGATCCAGTCCACTGATTCACAGTTTGAATTCACTGATTAAACTGAGTGTCATGGAGTGCAAATACCTCTGTTTCCTGCAGACTGCTGCCTGCTGAAGCTCCCTGAAGCCTCAGGGCTACTTCTTCAGCATAGAACTGGGCTGGAAACCACACAGACCATGGCTCTGACCAGGGACAGGTGCTTGTGGTTGCGTGTGCCTATTTGAAATCACATTCTTGCTTCAGTGACTTCTGTCGTCAAACAAAACCAAAAGTAAATATACCATTTCAAATGGTGTATTGTTGGAGTTATGTTGACTATGTCTGAAATCTAATGTTAATTATTATCCGTAGTGATTTCTTTTAAAAGGGAAAAAATATTCCCGGATTTTTAATGCTTCATTTCCAGTAAGATGTTCTTTGTGTACCAGCTGTATGACTGGTATTGTACAGACAAGGTACTGGCATAAATGCTTTCTCTGTTAAAAATGAGATTGCAAGTCATGCATACAGGGCACTAAGTATTAATTTTTGAGATTATCCTTCATGAGAGACTTTGAGCAATGATGTAAACTTACCCTTGCAACTCTTACCACAAACCAAAACTTTGAAAGTAAGGCTCTGCCCAAATTTTCAAGTATTTGTAGCCCATTCCCAGCTTTTTTTTTCTCTTGTCACAGTCTTGCAGTAAAAGGCAGCACTGGATTAGTGGCCATAGAGGTTACTTTAAGAGATAAAATGTTCTTAAGCAATCAGTTAAATATTTGCTGTGTAGATACAGGTTCTCAATAAACTCTTCACCAGTGAGACCCTGTGGTGCAGAAGAAACACAGAGCTTGTGTAGTGATTCTTCCGTATCTATTCCTAGCTTCCAGCATCCACCCCTCCCCTTGCTTCCAAATAAGCAACAGAGCTATATTGATTTTATGTTTGTGTTAACAGTGTAGAAGTAAGTCTAGAGTATCCCACTAGGTTTGTTCATTGAGCAATTCCACATCTTTTCTTTTTTTTTTTTTTTTTTTTTTTTTTTTTTTTTTTTTTTCTATGATGGTTGAAATCAAGTATCCAGAGAGAATTTATAGAGGATGTCCTGGCCTTCTGTGTAACACTTAATGGCAGGCAGCATAGAAGGGCATCCTTTCTGAAGCTGTAAATTGGGCTGTTTGGTCTGCCTGAAAAGCACTTTGGTCTTTAGTTTTTTTGGGGTCCTTGGGGGCTGACTAAATATATAAGCTTTGTTAATATTGCTTTATCGGGTGTGGTGGGATGTAGAAATCATCTAACAACTCCAGTAATGTTTTAGTGTGCAAAAGACTTGATGTTCATTGGAAAACTGAAAATACTTCCATACAGTTTTCCATAAAGACTTTAAATTTTATTAGAAGAACATTAATGACTTCAGGATTTCTGCAGCGTATATCTCTGTCAAATGTGTCTAGCTGACACATTTCACTTTAATATTCAAAACCTGTTATTTTGGGACTGTGTGACAAATATAGCCTCTACCATTGTAAGGTCAAGGAACTTTCCCTTCTTCTAACTCATTTGAACTACCAGGTGCCTAATATTTTTTGCTAATGAAGCTGGCCATGAAATTTGTATGGCTTCCTTGAGCCCCTTTTGTTTTCATACCTATTTCTTTTAATGACTGAGCCATGGGCAGCTTTAGCCACTTGACTGCTTCTGCTGGCCTCTTGCTTCAACACTGGCTGCCCTGGTCCCAGCTACATCCTGCTGGAAGAATACAGCAGTCTGCAGCAGGGATTAGATTTCCGAAACTGTGTGGTGCTTGGTGCAAAAGTTGTCCAGTTTGGTATTTTATCGGTAGAAGGTGTATGAAAATGGTATTTCCTTGTAGTGTGTTAAAGACACTGAGGGTTAAAGGATGTTTCACTTCAAATGCCATGTGTCAGTTATGGATATAATTGGCATAGCTTCAAAACTTATTTTAAAATAACTGGTGTATTTTATTATGGGGGAGAAATGTATAAGTGGATTATAGTTGTATAATGCAATCACATCCTGCTCTCCAGTGCCTTTTACTAATGCGATAGCAATGGGGATTTCCCATCTGTTTTTGCAGTGAATTCACAACGGGAAGACTCTGAGCCTAAGAAGATATTTCGTCTATCGGTGTCCCCTTCTCTGTTCTCAGCTTAGTAGCAGTATAGATCTGGCTTTGTGCCACTACTATGTATAAGCTCATCTGTACAGTTTTCATTCTGTCTCATGATTTACTGCAGGATTTATGGCTGATGCTGGTTAGATCCTTTTTTAACATCGACAGTCTTCTTGATGTATTCTGTGAGCCTAAGTCTTTCTAGGTGTGGGGGGGTGAGAGCCACAGAAAACTTTGGCTTCTTGCCTGGCTGGGTTGGTGAAGGTGTCTGTAGCCATAACTGGTAGTGTAAGCGGCTTGGAAGTGAGTGGTTGTAACCTGTCACTTTGTTCAGAGATGCATTTCCAACACATCCGTCATGCATAGCTGTAAAATGCTGTGGGTCCACGAGGACCATGCTTGTATAAACCTCCATATTTAAATTGTTAGCATTTGAGATTTCAGTAAATAGATCTATCTTGCTGAGGGGTTTTCTTCCCCTGTGTTCTCTTTGAGTACATACTTATCTTTTCTAAATAAAATACCTCTTAATCTTCCAGTTACTTTGTAATGATTTTGTTGCAGCTATGTTCTCTTGATGGTAGAGAAAGAGGGCCAGAAGCAAGCAGCCCACTAGTGTCACAGCTACTACCTGCTCTACCTTTTCTTGCATTAAAACTATTTTTCCATTCTGAGCTTGAAGAGAATGAGGTGTGGGTTTTGGTTTGCTTTTCTGGGGTACATTTTGGTTATCCTTTACACTATGTCGCAACGATAAGTCTGTTAAGGGTTTTTTTTGTGGTGTGTGGTAGGATTTCTGTCTTTGTTATACCTCATTTATTCTCTGGTTATTACCTGTCAATTTCATTTAGCATCTGGGGAAACAGATCTGTGGATTCAGAGTGAGGGTCACAGGGAGCAAAACTAGCATTGACTACTGACTTGTCAAAAAAAAGGGTCAAACATCAATCTTCATCTTGCAGTTGTCTGGAATGAAGAATAAATCACCAGACTATCCTAAGGTGACAGGGGAGCTTTTAATAAGTGGGTATCAATTTGTTTACTTACCAGACCAAAACTACATTGACTGTTCTTACACTTTCTCTCTGCAGAACTGGAGTCTTGTCTTTTTCTTAGTATGCTGTGAAAGAAACAGTGCTCAGTTAAAACCTTGTGCTTCTTCAGCCTCCTGGCATGGCCTTTCCATCAAGTTAAAAATTGCTTCTTTGTCGTTGTGTTTACATCTCTTATTGATAGTGTTTTCTGGTTGGATTTTATCTAGGCTGGCTGAGTAATTCTTATATTCCTGAATCTTAGGTCTCTTATGATTGCCCACTTTTGTATTTATTTTTGTTTCTGTGAAATGTGGAGAAGACACATAGCTGGCTTCTTTGTGCATGTCATCCAAATTTTAGTTGTGAGGTTTGCAGAGTACACAGGATGATGTGCAATGGGCATTGTTTGCTTGCTTAGAATTCCCAGACAAAAAATCTGCACCCTTGCTGCAGCTGTAAAATATTATGGCAAATGTCACTGTTTCAGCTTATTTATGGTCACGTGTTATCAGTAGTCATTATTTGCCAGTAATGGTGTATCTACTCAGCTCTGTCCTTAGGCAGGTGAGATGTATTTCATGTGTCCTGGTGTTTAGCCTCTCATGCAACTCAGGGTTTATGTATTAAAGGTGTGAATGAGGGTGAGGAAGACAAAACACAAAAATGGAGTATTTTGGTTGTCACTTCAGACAGATATCAGCCTTTATAAATTCAGTGATGGTTTTGATGTGCTTGGGGCCTCTCTTCCTCTGCAGGAAACTGGTAGTAACTAGTCACTGCAAAATGTTTATAATGCACGTACACTCGTAAGGCTCATGCATTGTACCTTGGATTTTATTTGAAACTAGAAAGTTAGGTACAGGAGTAGCAAATTGGCCTCATGGATATTCTAACTCTCTTCCAGGACTCATAGTTGGGGTGATCTTGAGGTATGGGACTCCCTCTACCAGCGGCCACGACAAGCCGTTCAGCTGCTCACAGGAGGACAGGCCATTTACAACCCTGCTGGTCAACGTCAGCGGGAAGTTCTTTGAGTATACGCTCAAAGGGGAAATAAGCCCTGGGAAGATCCACAACGTGGAGCAAAATGACATGTTGCGAAAGGTAAGGGTAGACCATTTCTTGTGCTTGGCTGAGTGTTTCTCTTCTATCTGTGCTTCCCTCCCTCCTCCCCCATTCTGTCCCTTTGAATGTTAGGTAGTATCGAGTATCTGTATTCCTGATAGTAACAGCACTTAAATGCTTAATTCAAAAGCATCTTCTGTATTATACTGCTGCTGGCAATACTGTGCTTTGTTACATGTATGTAGTGCTTTCCCAAAGCCTTTGGTTGCTGTTTGAAGACTTCATGTATGTTTCTAACATCTGTAGAATTCACTAAGACCAGCTGGACAAAAAAAAGCCTGATGGTGCTTTGTGTAATACAAGGAAAACGATCAGTTCTTAGTGAAAAGTGGTTGTTTCTCAGTGTTTTGTTTTGTTTTGTTTTTTTTTTTCCTAGGGTTTTTTAATCTGTTTATTGTCAGGAAATAGTTACTGCTTACATCCCCATAATCCCCAAATGAGACAGTCTGGTATTGGAATTGAAATTAATCTATCAACTGTTATCCAGATCTGCTATTTGACTTGTTCTATTCAGTGTCAGGAGTTAATCACCTTTTGTGTGTATCAAAGCTAGATTCTGAAGTATAAGATTGAGACTATAAGGTTTGTAACCTAAAAATACTTCTTTCTGCTGACTACAAAGAGAGCTTATGTGTCTGTTTATCTATAGCAGGCAGGTACATATAGCTAAAGTTAGTTGAAATTAATCCTATTCTTGGAGTGCACACTTGTGATTGTCTTCTAACCTGTGCTTAGACAGGGGTTGAAGAGAGCCTAGTTAGTTTCACATCTGTGCAGGTCTTCTGTTTGGATTTTAAGTGTTGTTTTTTATTCCTTACTGTAGTGTAGTCCTTCATGGATACCTGAAGCTTCTACTGAAATGCATGGAAGTGATATATGATCCCAGTTCCTGAAAACCAGTCTTGTATCTGACTCGACTGGCTTACAATAACTGTGCAGTGGCTAGACTTGCAAAAAACCACAAGCTAAAATAGCATTTCATCTGCAGATATATGATGTCCCACACTAAGAGATATCTTCTTCAGAGTAATCTTTATTAGAATTTTTTAATTTAAAAAAGGTGACTGTGTTCAGGACTGCTGCAAGATTATCATTGGTGATGGATGTAATGCCTGTTTTTCCTAGATGCTGTTTGCCAAGAAGAGCTGCAGTTTTTTTCTATATATGTATAGAGCTGGCCAGTATTTTGGAGGGTCAACTTAGCTATTTCTGAAAATAGTAGTTTTCAGAAAATGAAAGAGGAAAACGACCTAACAATTTGTGTATTTCTGTTTCTAATTGTAGTTTCATGTTTTATTTTTTAGGTAACTTTTGACCCGGAAGTTTTTTTCAACATTCTGTTGCCTCCTATTATTTTTCATGCTGGTTATAGCCTGAAGAAAGTAAGTATAATAATTTGAGGAGAGCAGCCTTGGTTTATGTTGTTGTTTGTTTGTTTTTAATGTGAGACTGCTGATTTGTTCAGGAGCGCAGTCTCCATTTCAAGCATTTTCTTGTTAATGGCAGTAAGAAAAAAAGTAATTTCCTTCATAGATGTTTAGGTCATATTGTTTCAAGAGAATGTACTTGTACTTTTTACTATAAACTTGTACTTTTACTATAATCTATTAACTATAAACACATTAAACTATTGAATCTGATTTGTTTTCCTTTAAACGGAACCTCTGGCAAAGTTCAAAGTGAAAGATGTCCTGCTGTGAGTTGTTTTGGTCCTCCTCAAATATGCAAAATGCAGTAAATTATGCTGAGAAGGGGACCCAAACCTGAATCCCAGTGGGGATGTGCCATATCTTGAACGTCAGAAGGGTCCAGATTCTGTTCTTGCTTGAAACTGCCGTAAATTGGTGCTGGTTTTTCAATTGTGCAGCTAACTCTTACATCTCTTATGAAAATACCTGTGTGTAAAGCTTCCTGTTAATAAGCTACGCGTAGGATTTAATACATGGTTCAGATTTGGTTTATTCAATTTATTGAAGTTGGACAGAATTTCCATTGCAGTAGCAGAAGAGTTTGTCTGAAATGAAGGAGTGTTTCTGTGTATTAATGCAAGCGTAGTAGTACACTGCATGTTTTTGAACAGGTGATATAACTTGGTTTAAATAACTATACAAACCTTTTTTTTTCTATGCAGAGACACTTTTTCAGGAATTTGGGGTCCATTTTGGCTTACGCCTTTTTAGGAACAGCAGTCTCTTGTTTTATTATTGGGTAAGTGAACTCTGTGTTATCAGTTTCTTTCTATACTGAAGTTTAGGTTGATAAAGTGACCTTCCAGAGTACCTCATTTTTGTAATTTGTTTGTTTGAGGATTTTATTGTGCATCCTCCAGACAAAATGTGAATGTAACTTTTGCTGAGATTTACCACACTTCTAAACAATACTGTCCCTTGAAATGAAATTGATAAGTTTGAATCACTTGACAAGTCCACAAAGCTAAAGAAGGGTATTGAGTTTTTTGATGTAATGGTCCAGCCCAAAACAAAACCTTGTTAGAGTCTTACTGGAATTGACTCAAACCTGAATTGTGGACGCTACTTGTAATAGAATTTTAGCTATCAGACTTTTAGAGATGTCCCATTTGCATGTGCATGCTCTCTCTTTCTCTGCAGATGTGTATGTATATATATAACTTTATGCGTATGTGTGCGCACACATTTAGTATAAGATAGCTAGTTAATGTTGCTTTACTTGCATACCGTCTCATATGCTGCTAATGTTAGCGTGTCTAGTGTATGGATATTCTGAAATACAGAAATTCCAAGTTACTTAAGTGACTTTGGTTTGTCTCAAAGAATTTCACTAGAAAAGTACTTAGAAGGCTATTCTTAGTTCAGAGCTTTTGGCCTATGTACTGTATTGGGAGAAGGAATACTGAGGAGAATTTTGAGCAGGGAAATGTTCCCTTTGGTAGAAAAGGGAAACAACTTCTAGATTCTGTGTACTAGTAGTGTGAACAGATTTCATGCTTTGCTTACTGGCTTGAAATGTTATCTTCTGGATCATGTATTGCTTGATCAGTTCATAGGGAAGAAGAAAATTAATTTTGAGAGCTTAGTGTTAAACCATGGAAGTGTCCTCCAGAGCTGTACCATAACCAAGCCCACCTGAAATTATTGTTGCTTTTCCTTTGCCTGTCTGAAATGGACCAACTTGTTTGACTTGGACTGTTTTATCCTTTTTCTCTTCAGGAATCTCATGTATGGGGTTGTGAAACTAATGAAGTTGGTGGGTCAGCTTTCTGATAAATTCTATTATACAGACTGCCTCCTCTTTGGAGCGATAATATCTGCCACTGATCCAGGTAGCTTGCTGAACATTTTTTTAATAACCTTCTAAAGTAATTGTATTACTAGGATTTTTGGCTGCCTAGCATGTAGATATTAACAGCAATTTATTTTCAGTTATGTCACGCTAGTCTCTCTGATCATCTTCTCTAAAATGCATGCAAATTCTGAGTGTTGTGAAAGCTGTTCTCTGTCAGTTTGGTGCTGGACTGGTGTGACGTGATGGTATGTTTAGGGAAAAATGTAACTTTTGTGTTCAAATACTTTAAATATTCCCCCCCACCCCGTAGGTTTTTTGTTTAGTGTGCATTAAGTTTAAGACTGCTAATAGGTGAAATTATTACCTTGTCTGGATAGTGGGATTTCCTTCTTCAGCTACATTGCTTGGGACATTGGATAATTTAAGAGCAATATTTGAAGCTTTTAGGTGTGGGGAATTAATATTTCTCCTTCAAATACCCTTCATGTTTTACAAGTTTAAGCAGAAGAATGCTCTTCTGGTAAAGTGATTTGAGCTTTTGCCAAAATAATCCAGTCATCCTTCAAAGTTCAGCAGGCTCACATAGGTGTCTACTTGACAGGTCAGTCTGAGAGCTGATGTGTGTCGGACTGGGATAGGGAGTGATGTAGTATAAAGCCTGACATTTAAAACAGCTTATCTGAGGCAGCTTATCTGAGGTGTTCAGTGGTGATTTGGTGAAAATGGGAAGTAGTTCCTGTGATTGAGCTGAGCTCTGAACAGCTAGTGGTTGCATACAGTTTATGCAAAAAATCACTGTGTAATTTTTGAAGCTCATATATGGGAACATCTTCAAGATCATGGTATTTCATCTCAGATGGAAGTTTCTTGAAAAGGTAGTTAAAAATATTTAGCAGTCTTTCCCTTTTCAAATTCTGCACAAATGCACAGTTCTGTGGCATTGTGTATGTTTTGGGGAACATTTAAGATTATTAGCACTACTTTATGTTGGCTGAAATAATAAAGCTATGTCAACAACCATACAGCCTTTAAAAGTAGCAAGAGCTGCACAATGTTTTGTGGATTACCTTATATGGAACATGTTCTACAAAAAACACTGGGGCTTTGGTAGAAGTGCTTTGTCTGCCCCATGCCCCTTGATCATGGGAGTTTTCTTATAAACACCGTGCAGATGGGAGATCAGCAGAGCCACCTCTTACTGGAGCTGCCTGAAAAGTGATGGTGGAATTGCTTACCTATAGATAAACCTAATTAGTCTGTTTCCCAGTTTACTTTTAGTTCTGTACTTCAGTTCTTAAGTTTTGTTGCTTTAGGCAAACTGGAAAGTCTGCTCTGTCAGCTCACGCATTTGTTCCTGAAGTCAGCAAGCGTGGTTTTTCTCTTTTCTTTCTGTAGTTACTGTGCTAGCAATATTTAATGAGCTGCATGCTGATGTCGATCTCTATGCCCTTCTGTTTGGGGAGAGTGTGTTGAATGACGCCGTTGCCATTGTATTATCTTCGTAAGTAACTCCCAGAATTTCTACTCTGAAATAATTTAATTGCTTTTGGTATTAATCTAAAATAAATACTTCTTCTGAGAAATGTTATTTGAAATTTAAATGGATTGTCTTGAACTGAATTAATAAACATTGCAAACATTTGCCAAGATCCCTCATGCATACATACACCAGAATGGCAAATTTGCCTTCAGTCTGGGATTGTCTCTTGTGTTGCTGTTATGGAATAAACTTTCCTGATGCCACTTCTAATTTCCCTTTGTGCTACTCTCTTTCTAGATCTATAGTTGCCTACCAGCCAACAGGTGAAAATACCCATGCTTTTGATGCAGCAGCATTTTTCAAGTCTGTTGGTGTTTTCCTGGGGATTTTCAGTGGTTCTTTCATGATGGGAGCAGTGACGGGGGTTGTGACAGCTCTGATATCCTTTTTCACATTTAGCTCTTCCAGACTAGATGCCACATTTGGGTATTAACAGGGCTCTCCTGTTTCCAGCTATACTAAAATTGACTCTAGCTTGTTTTAATTGGAGTGTGAAGATGTGATCAGTATTCATGTGCCTATAGAAAAGCATTATAGGTACTCAGAGAAATCTTTTTCCATTATAACTGTGGCCATACTAGAAGTTTCAGTAATGTCGCTGCATGCTGGAAGCCAAGGGGAAGGCCCTAAATGGGCTTGTCCTAATGTTCAGTTTCTTTTTATGAAATTCAGAAAATAGTTTTTTATTATCAGGCTTGAAAGACATCTCATGTGATAACTGGTGTTTGGTTCTGTCTTCAGCTAACTCATTAATAGCTATTTCTGACCCCACAGGGTTCTTTGAATCCTGCATTTAAACTTTTTGCCAGAAATCTGATGTCATCCATCTTGGATAAGATTGTATCTCTACCAGAGTTAACATTATAACATGATGTGCTTTGCATGATCTGTCCTGTTCTTTTGAAACTTACTGCTGCTATTTGATTAGTGCTCTGAGGCACTCAGCATGCAATTTATGTGGGTTTTATTTTGGGCTCAGATAGTCGACCTTAAGCCTGACCTGCTACAGAAATCGTGATGCTTCTTCAGGAAAAGATTAACATTCTTTGCTTTCAGACTGAGTAGTATAACCATATTTGTATGTATCCCAGATTGCTTTGATCTTGCTAGACTTCTGAACACTGGTCTAAAAGGGGTGAAATGTGGTATTTTATACAATAATCATGAACCTCTGACTCTTCATCTTAAGCAATAATGTCTCAGCCGTGTCTTGTTATATCCACACTGTGCAGATTTGTCTGATGTGCCTGCATAATGGAAACCCTTAAGGTATAAGGGAGAAGATGTGCTGTTGATGCTTTTATGTTTGCCTTCCAGTTCCCCTGATCACCAGTGTGACCCAGAACCATGAATCTTCATCTGGCTTTTAGGCTACTGGCCATCCATAGCTCTGGCAGCTTAAATGCTGTTGCTGTGGTTTTTGGCTTGCTACTAATTATAGCTGAAATGCATTCAGATCCATTTTGTAAAATCATGCTTCTGAAGCAGCAATTTGTTCTTGCTGTTTCTAATGTTTGTGTTCAGGAAGGTGATAGGAGGCTGTTCGGAGGACAGCCTCTGTGGTGGTTCGTTTTGTTTTGTTTTTTGTTTGGTTTGGGTTTTTTTTAAAGAAAACAACACAGAAAATCCTTAAACTGTTGCTCAGTTATACAACTGTAAGTATTTTTTTCCAAAAGAAAATAGTTAATAAAGCAAACTGTAAATTTGCATTTTAGTCTTCATAGCTGATTATATCCCATAACTTAAGTCATGAATGAAGTTAGACTGTTATTCCTGTAGCTGTGAAGTACCTATAACTGTACTTCTGAGTGAGGGGTTTCATGTGGTTATGCATTGTCCTTTGAAAGCAGACAGACTCCTTAGTTTCCAGATATGATGCAGATAATATACAGGGACTTGTTCTGGCTTTCAGCAAGCTGTCTTGACCTCGCTATCTGTGGTTATTTTTATAACAGTTAAGGCATTGCACCACTTCGTATTTTCTTTCTAAATTGCAGAATCTGGCTGGTTGAAATGAAGTGAAGCAGAAGGCCATCTCTGAGGAATAAAGAAAGCAAGCTAAGAAAACAACAATAATAGCTTGATTTGAACTAATACTTAAATTTGGTCAATTATATGAAATAATAAAATGCTTTTTTTTTCCTTCTGTCACCTTCATCTCCTCCAAAATGATGAGCACAGGTTTTCATTTCAGATTTAACGAAATGTTTTGGTATGATTACTTATAATAACAGAAAGGAGAATAAGGAATTTGCTTCACAAAGCTGCCAGAAAAGACTGGAAATGAGGAACTGGTTCTGGCAAAGACCCTTGACTAACTTCAGGAGAACAAGGTTCAACCTCTGCCTCTCCTGTGGAGTGACTGTGGCTGTCCAGTTTCCTAAGCCTCCACGAATGCCTTTTGAGCCAGGCACTGGAATAACTTGTGGTGGGATTATCTGAGTGCTCTGGGGGAAGGCTGGTTCTAATTGTTGTTACAGTGGATGTTGCTGTTTCAGAGGCATGATTGTAGGTCTGTTGGGGGCAGGGGGGAAATTCAGTTGAGTGTAACAGCTCATCCTCAAAAGTTTTAGAGAGATGGTTTATGTGGAAAATTAACAGTGGTTTAAAAAACTACCAAGTTTTATATTTGGTGTAATGCCAGCTGTCACAGAGAATAATTTTTTTTTTTTTTTTTTTTTTTTTTTCCTTTCTGACAAAGTAGGGTCGCAGCTGAAGCTGTGGCTGGAGTATGTGTTTCAGAGTCCTTGCCCTTCTCCTCCAAGTTAGCAGAGAATGCCAACAAAAAGTAGGTGTGGGTGGAGAGCAGGTAGCAGGCCTCAGAATTTGCTTCATCCTAAACCAGGCTCCCATTGAAACACTGCCAGCTGTTTGCCTCTGGTGTCAATCACTTGGGGCTTGTTGTGAATGCTGTATTCTGTGATAAAGCCCCAAGGAGGTGGTTTCCAGTGATTTTTCTGGGCTACCTGACTGCTGCTTGCAGGAGGCAGGCGAGTGCTGTGAGCCCCAGACCTCCCAGGACCTGTGGATTTCCTGTGAATAGTGGTGCTGCTCATTGCTTTTAACATCCCTATCCCATGTTGAGCCATGACTCCCCAAGCAACAGTGCTGCCAATTAGCTTTAAACTGTGTAGTTCTGCAGAGAGCCCAGGATACAGCAGTGTTACACATGGAGAGCAACGGTGGATGATGGTGCATCTGCTGACGTACCAATTGCCTTCATATGAGCAGGGGAGAGTGCTACTACCTTACTGTTTCAAGTGTCCTTTCTGTGCTCTCTCTGTCCTCCCACTTGCGTTTCAGATAAGATTGTCTAGTTGTCAGCTTTCAGAAAGAGCAGGGATCTGTCTATCACCCCTATTAGCACGTGGTTTCTTTCTGTGTCTTCTAGTAGGGTTGCGCATAGCTGTCTGCACCTCACTACAGTGAGCTGTTCAGTATTTACCTGCTGCCAGAGTAGTGCTGAGGTGGAAAAATACCCACTAAAAATCTAAATATGTGAACAACTTTTTTGTAGTTGTGAAGACCTATCTTTAACACTTAAGAAATTTAGTCTGCTTCTTCAGGAGCTGAATGAACTGTTAATTCAGTGTGTTTGATGTTCCTCAAGTTTTGCTCTTCTGTGGAAGATTGAACTTGTTTGTTCTTCCCATTGAAAGATTGAGCTGCTCTCAGTTGGCTTTTACCTAAAACACATCAACACAAGGAAATATATTTTGTTGTAGGCAGGATTCCTGTTTTGCCTCAAAAGTACAGAAGTAGCCACGCTTGCTGAAAGAGACAACAAATCTGAGCAGAAAAATTCTGATAAATCTGCTTCTTCTTAGGGTGGCTGTAGTCAAGAACAGCCCTGTGAAGGGTGGCTGCAGTCAAGAGCAGCCCTGTGAATTAAATGAATCTGAATGTATTTTATGCATAATTTAAAAATGGGGGGGATCTTTACTGGGGAAGGAACCAAACCCAAAGCAAACATATGTGCACACACCCCCTCAAGAAACCAAGACACACAATCTAAATGGAATGCCAGGTATATATTCCTTCTCTGCTAGCACTTTGCAGGGAAATGTGACATAGAGTAAGACATTACCTCAAAGAGATGTTGCCACAGTTATGCCATGGATATGCAGCACAAATAGCCCAAACTGACTGTTGCAAGAAAAGGATTTGATTCTGAAGTTTGTCTTGATGTGATGGAATTTCAGCACTGAAAGTTTTCCAGCTATTGGTGGTTAGTGCATTAAAGTGTTTTTCATAAATACAAGGTACAGAGAAGGCAAAGGATTTTTTTTTTTTTTTTTGATCCCTTAACAAATAACTTAACGTGACGAAGTTTACCAAGTTGCACTGCTTCCCCCTGCTGGAGACGGCTCTCTTCTTCTTGATGTCCTGGAGCACTTTCTTGCTTGCAGAAGCATGTGGATTTACTGGTGAGTTGTTGGGATTCAAGCACACGGGGACAGAACTCCTGTCCATCTTAGCAGCCATTTTCTACTTTCTCATTGAAACTTTCCTATGAGAAACATGATGTTAGCACTTAAAGCTTTTTTTTTTTTTTTACGTTCTGTACAATGTCATTGAAGGTGCAGCTCACAGAACAGTGGTTAAGGCTTTTAAGAACTATGGTTTGGTTAAAATACCACCTTCCCAACCTGGAATCAAACTCACTTGAAATTAAGATTCATAAAATCTCAAGGTTAAGGATGTTGTATAAATTTAATAGAACTTGGGAAGGGAAAATGCGTGGAACTCACAGAGTAAACAGGCTGACTTTTACATGTGATTCTGTTCACAGGTGTGGTGGCTGTCCTCTTCTGTGGAATTACCCAGGCGCATTATACATACAATAATTTGTCAGTTGAATCAAGAAGTCGTACTAAGCAGGCAAGACTTTTTCACCTGTCACACAGTATATTGCTGTAGTAGTCCATGTACTATTGTTTTTGAAAAGCATCTTTATTGCTTGGCCTTTAACCTGTGACTGTTTTCTCCCTAGCTCTTTGAGGTATTACACTTCCTGGCTGAGAACTTCATATTTTCTTATATGGGTTTGGCACTGTTTACTTTCCAGAAACACATATTCAGCCCGGTTTTCATCATTGGAGCTTTTGTATCCTTTTTTTCCTTTGTGAGATTTCTCCATTTATGTGCCTGAAAATTGATGTCTGTTGGCTTTACCAAATAGAGGATGGTGGCTGATGTGAGTTTCCCTGATGTCTTGCAGGCACAATAATTTTGAGAGCAATCTTTGTTTACTCCTTATACTGGAGCCTTAAGGCCTCTGTGCCACACAGTTGTTGGCCCTGTACCTGAGCAAGTGCTACAAATCATATAGTTTCAATAAATAAATAAGTTTGCTTTACTCTGTGACTTGGCTATTGATAGGCAGCAGTGCTTGGGTTTGAACTTGGGAGGCATAGGAAAGGATTAATTTCACTTCCAATGGTCCCTTGAAGAAAGCAAACAAACTTCAAGTAAATAAAAAGGATTGTGGGTGCACAGATTATCTTTGAGCAATACCCCAAAGGTAGAGGTCAGGATCTCAGGTAATAGGAGGAAGGAACTGAGCTGTGGTGCAGACTGTGACATGAAGGGTACACAGTGCTGAAAGGTGCTGGTGTTGGAGGTGGGTATCCAGATCCCATTGTCCCTGGCTGACTTTGGTGCCTGGCTCTAGAATTCCTCAGAACTGAATGCTTTAGTAGTAGTCACACTCATACAAGCTAGGGATCACTATATTCCTCTCTGCACCTCGCCTCTGTTGAAATGGCTTATGTAACTATTTTTTCACTACATTTCTTGCTGCTTGACAACTCGGAGCAATTGAAAGTGTGCATGAAGCAATGGGAACCAGTCTTCCAGTCTTGCTTTCTCTCTGCCTGCTGTAGGAGTAGGGCTATCAGCAATGGAGATAAAATTCAGTGAAAGGACATATAAGATGGCCTAATTTGGAACATACTTAACTTCTCTCCTTCTTTCTACTGTTTTCTCTCATCTCTGTACTGCTTCTAGGGATTTAATGCAGTTATCTTTATTTTTCTTTGGCCATTTCTTTTTTTTTATGAAACAGTAATACATCATCTCCTGTCTCTCCTCGCATCTGTTCTTCTGACCCAAAAAATGCTCTGGAGCCCTGCAGTCACTGGGTAAAGACACAAGCAGCATAGTTGTATCTGGTATACTAAGCATCATAATTTTTCATCTTTGTCATGGCCTTCCATCCTCTCTCAGGTTACACGGTCTTGGATTTGTTTTCAGTATTTACTTTGTTCCTTTCTCTTCCTACCCACCTACCTTTTATTCCATTTTTTTACATCTTCTACCACTGCACTTATCCTCTGTTGCATCTTGAGTGTTTTCCTGCCTTTGTGAGGAGGGCAGCTAGTACTACCACCCACATTTTGCCTCAACAGCTACTGTCCCCATTAGCTAACAGCTTATGAGGGTACACGTAGAGTTATCATTAGCTGTTGAAAGTGAAAGGTTGGACTGCAAAAGCAGAGCTAAAGCCTCGGTGTCATTGACAAAATCCCATCTGTTATTGCTCTGTACGTTGGTCGTAATGACTTCTGATGTCTGATTTCTGCAGCCTTCAGAAGGACTGCTATAAAGTTGTTTGGAATAATTACATGAAGCTTTTTGTACAAATAATCAAAATCTTATTTTTTAGAGACATAATTTCCTGCAGACAGTATTGCTTTACTTAAGCTATGACAATAACCCAGTTGTATTTAGAGCTCTTATATGGTTTTATTTCTTTTCTGTAAGAGAGCTGTTTCATTCTTCTAATGTTATCCCTACAGCAAATTATCAGTGTTTGGTAGGCTTCTGGTTGTGTTGATGTTTTGTAGGGTTTCAGCACATCATTTAGTTTGCCCCAAAGTGTTACTTAGATGATGGAGTGTGTATTCATCTTTCTGCTTCTTCACTGGAACCCCTGGATATTTTATACCACAGTAGGGGAAGGAAGGAGCTTACCACCTACTGTCATGAATTTCAGCAATTGTCTTCTACTACTCCTTTTTCTAGTGCTGGCAAGTGGTTTTTGGATTTATCGTCTTAGTAACTCTGTACTCTTAAGTTCTTGCCAGCTAGTTGGAGATTTTGCCTCTGTAGGCACTGTAATGGGGTGGGCACTTGGTGGTCTTATGTTGGCTTCCCTTCTGTACGTAGGACTGCATTTCTGTTGGTCTGAAAGGCAGAACTGAATGATGGTGGTGATAACTGTTTAAAGTGCAAATTTTTAAAGTAGTCTTAATTTGTACAACTGATACTTTTAACACTAGGTATAATTTCACTGTATATTAAAAGATTAGTTAAAATTTGCATTCTGTGCAGTGAGTTCTGTATTGCATATAATTGGTGAAAGTCTGTTTTATATAGACAGAGATAACAAGAACACTTGATATCATGATGTAAACCTTTCACTAAAACAGAAGCTTCATGTTAGAGTCAGGTACTCAAGAGTACTCAGGCAAGTGAAATCCTTAACCCTCAGCTGTGAACAGATTGCAATCTTCTTGGGTAGAGCGGCACATATCTACCCTCTCTCCTTCTTGTTGAATCTGGGTAGAAGGCATAAGATCAGCTGGAACTTTCAGCACATGATGATGTTTTCAGGTAAAAGCAAAAATGTCTGGTAAAGCAAAAAAACCTTAAGCAATTTATAGTACTACCTTCTGCTTTTATAATCCTTGTGCATGCTTCCTGAATAGAAGACTTAATGGTTGTTGCAGCGTGCCCTCATGTATTTTTCAGCCTTTACAGAACATGTGTCATGAGGAAAGAGTGACATCTTGAAATGCCAGGTATTAGCAGCAAGCAGTCACCTCATGTTGGGAATACAGTATTTTCATTTGAAATCCACATTTCAATGTGGAAGGGGATGGGAGAATTGAGAATCTCTTCCAGAAATTTATTTCTAGCTGAGATGATGTACATGTTATGCAGAAACAGGTATCTACTGAGAAAATTGAGGCATATTTATGAGTGTCCTCTTCCGCTTAGTTGGAGAAAGTGAGGTATTTGACTTAAACAGTTATCTGTGTGACAGAAGGCATAAAGGAGTTTGACTCTGTCATTTAAAGCAAATCATGGAGTGTGTGTTTGTGTTTAAACATGTGCATCCTCAAGAAGTGCCAGGGATGCATCTTTACACAGAAGGGTGTAAAGAAGAGGAGCCAGGCTATTTTCATTGGTGCCCAGTGCCAGGACCAGAGGCAATGGGCACAAACTGAAACACAGGACCTTCCCTCTGAACATCAGAAAACACTTTTTACTGTGTCCACACACTGGCACAGGCTCCTCAGAGAGATGGTTGTGTCTCCATCCTTAGAGATACTCAAAAGCTACCTGGATGTGGTCTTGGGCAGCCTACTCCAGGTGGCCCGGCTTGAGCAGGGGGGTTGGATCAGGTGACCTCCAAAGGTCCTTCCAACCTCAGCCATCCTGTGATTCTGTGATTCCCCTACTAAAGACATCTGCAGATGGCCAAATGCCATGGCTTGTCCTTGCTAGTGTAGTTTCATAATTGGGGGCAGGGGATGGCAGGGGGGATATCAGCTGGAAAAATGCTCACAGGCAGAATATAACAGGTTCATATCAAGAACTTATGTTTCAGTGATGGAATCAACTGGAAAAGTGTTTTCTGATTTGAATTCAGGAAGCTGTCTATTTTCTGTAATATATTTTGCTGTTTTCCACAACTTCTTTCCTGTTTGTTTCTGGAAATATTTACACCTTTTTTTAGCACTTGTGGATTTTATAAGTCACAGAAAACTATTAGGGCAAACAATATTCTAAATCATCCTAAGGTATAATATTTCAAGGAAACTGAAAGAATTAAAACTCTCTGGAGCCCAGTGGTTTCTGCCTGTGGCAGCAAGGGGGCAAGGAAAGGTGCTGTGTTATGAATAGGCATGGTTGTACTTCTGAGGCTCTGCTATTTCATTCTTTTGTGTAGGTCTCAGGGGAGCCATGGCATTTGCTCTGGCTATACGGGATACTGCTACCTACTCGCATCAAATGATGTTCTCAACAACTCTCCTCATCGTCTTTTTCACTGTGTGGATTGTTGGTGGAGGTACAACTCCCATGCTGTCATGGCTGAACATCAGGTCAGTATGCAACTGCATGCTTGGGAAATGTCACTTTTCAGATGACAGCTGTACTAATTGGGAATAGCCCTACAGAACACCTAGAGGTGTTCTAGGTATTTAGAACATTATGTTTTATAGAGGAAGGTGCTAGTGGAGGCTGGTAAATAAAATGTATTGATGCTGCCTGGGATTCAGCCTAAAGCGCTCTGATATTCTCCAAGTAGGTATCTAGGTCCTTGTCAGTCCAGGAGGATATGGAATAGTGTTGCCTGATACAGCAGCACATGTATTGAAAAGAAATAATTAGCATATCTAGGCCCATATCAACTTGTCGTCTTATACTAAGACATTTCCCTGTTGTCTTGCTTTTGGTAATGTCTCTCTTCTGTTTTTCAAGTTAAATAGTGTATTTAGTGGGTGGTGCTAAACTGAATGTACTTTAAATTTCTATCCAAACAAACACGACTTTACCTAAACAACTGGAATAAATGGGTTCCTGTTAGTCTTCTGGGTGTGTTTCCTCCAGTTTTGAGAAGACCTGTGAAGCTGGGTAAGCAGCGTGATTATAGCCATTTCTCTGGAAATACTGGCCAGTACTTGGTACTTCAGGGCTGCAAGTACATTCATGTTTGAGGATACTTAGCAACAGAAGTGCTAGAGAATAGTAAATCAATCGTTAAAGACCATGTGTTATCATTCAGTGAAAGTCTTAGCAGTTTGTGGGGAGGCAAAGGTAGGTAGTGGAATTACAATATACACTGTGCAAACTCTTCTGTGCATTTTTCTTATGTAAATTATTCATGGTTTCTGACACTTGATACATTATTTTGTCTTTTGAATTGTGCTAACTAGAATTTGTCTCCAATTGTCTTGTGATAGGATTGGAAAAAACAATCTTAGGTAAAACCAGTTTCAGTCTTTAGAACAACTGACCATTTTTAGGGACTCGCCACTTTTGGAAAACTTAAGTGGACTACTTGTGGCAGTAGATAGCAGGTGCTTTCTAGGTTGGAAAAAAAAATGGATAGGACTTTCAGAAATGTTTCTGAACTTTTATCATTGAAGGCAGCACAATTCCAGCCTGAGACAGTCATTACATCAGTGATTTACAGTATCTTAGCTTTGTTTAACAGCACACATCGGGAAATCAGAGTTTCTGGTTTCTTGGTGCCAAACAAATGTACTTCTGTCCTTTAAAAGTGCATCACTTGCTTACATGCATCACTTTCTTACATGCAAGCTCCAGATGTTTGGCTAGTACACCAGAAAGAAGAATCACCTTCATGTAGCAAGCTCTCTGAAGGACATGTCACTAAGAACAGGTTAAGTCAACATCCAAAATTAGTTCCAGTGCAGTTGTGTCATTAATGATCATGAGAGACCACATTGTAACAATATTTCTAAGCCCAGCCTGACTGATTTCTGTTCCTATGCCAGAGCTAAGTAATGCCTTTAACAAGATACCTGGAATAGGTGCCACATGCAGCTTTCCATTAGACAACTCTAGCAACAGAAGCAGATTTTTGTCTGATAGTGGTATATAAGGAACAACTGTACTAATACACTTTGGCAAGCACAGCAGGCCTGGTGTCTGCATAACCGGCAGTGTGCTTAGACTGTCTGAGGCGTGGGCTAACAGGGAGCAGGAGACGCATTCTGGCCAGCGGCATGCGGGTAAGAACACTTCTTGCAGTCTGCTTCCAGTGGCTGAGCAAAACCTGCCAAGATCTGCCTGCAGCCTCTGCAATGGCCACCAAGAGGATATCTCTTGTCTGTGCTCCAGTTGAGTGGATTCCAAAGCATCTTCTGAAGTGTGGCTGCAACCAGGTCAATATAACAGACTCTAACAGCTCTTGTCAGAGGCACTGGCATCCTGACCCTTCTGCCCTGCTGCTTACACCTTTTTTGTTGAGGGAGTATATCCAGGTATTTCCTTCAGACCTTGTCATCCAGCAAGGGACAGGATGCACTGCTGACCAACTAAGAGAAGAGGAATTGTGTTCAGTCTGCCTGTATCAGAAGGCAGCTTCTGAGTGCAGTCAACAATTACCTCTGCCGCAGGGCTGCTTCAGTCATCAGCAGTAGGACAGGACTGAATTCTACCATGTGGCCCAGCTCCTGGCCAACTGGAAAATAGTTCTGAGGTAGCAATGCTTTCCCTATTTTGACTGTTATTTGTTTGGCATAGTTCACAGAAAAGAATGGTTAACTTCCCTATTAAGGGAAGGATATCACAGAAGCAAGGGAACTTTACATAGGAAGATTTTTAGGGAATTGCAATGGGTCTGCCTACAGCTGCCTTGATAGGCACTGCTCTAATGATGGAGACTGCAATTTTTGAGACCACATGAAATCAGATTTGTGCCAGCAGGTGGCAGCCGTGTACAGATGATTGAGGATTAGAAACTTCATTCTGGTAAAGTACCCTTTGTGATGGGGCCCTTTCCACTGGAAAGCAAAAAGTCCTGTCATAGAATCATAGACTTGTTAAGGTTGGAAAAGACCTTTAAGGTCTTTGAGGCTAACTGTTAACCTAACACTGCCAAGTCCACCACTAAATCATGTCCCTAAGTGCTATGCCTGCATGTCTTTTTTAAATAACTCCAGGGATGGTGACTCAACCACTTCCCTGGGCAACTTGTTCCAGTGTTTGACAACCCCTTTGGTGAATAAATTTTGCCTAATATCCAGTCTAAACCTCCCCTGGTGCAACCTGATGCCATTTCCTCTTGTCCTATCGCTTGTTACTTGGGAAAAGAGACTGACACCCACCTTGCTATAACCTCCTTTCAGGTAGTTGTAAAAAGCAATAAGGTCTCCCCTTAGCTGCCTTTTCTCCAGGCTAAACAAACCTAGTTTCCTCAGCTGCTCTTCATAAAACTTGTCCTCTAGACCTTTCATCATCCTTGTTGCCCTTTTGACATATTCCAGCACCTCAGTGTCTGTCTTGTAGTGAAGGGCCTCACCAGTGCTGAGTACAGGGGGACAATCACTTCCTTGTCCCTGCTGGTCATGCTGTTTCTGATATAAGCCAGGATGCTATTGGCTGCCTTAGCCACCTGGGCACACTGATGGCTCATACTGAGCCAGCTGTTAACCAACACCCCCACGTCCTTTTCTGCCAGGCAGCTCTCCAGCCACCCTTCCCCAAGCCTTGTAGCGCTGCTGGGGGTTGTTGCAACCCAAGTGCAGGACCCAAGCATTTAGCCTCATTGAACCTCATATAACTGGTGTTGGCCCAGTGATTCAGCTTGTCCAGATCCCTCTGTAGAGCCCTTTCTACCCCTCGAGCAGATCAACACTCCCACCCAACTTGGTGTTGTCTGCAGGAGCACTTGATTCTCTTGTCCAGATTGTTGATAAAGATATCAAATAGAGCTGGCCCCAGTACTGAGCCCTGGGGAACACCACTTGTGACCAGCAACCAACTGGATTTAACATCATTCACCACCACTCCTTGGGCCTGGCCATCTAGCCAGTGAAGCATACGCCCATCCAAGCCATAAGCAGCCAGCTTTTCCAGGAGAATGCTGTGGGAAACGGTGTCAAAGGCTTTACTAAAGTCTAGGTAGGCAACATCCACAGCCTTTCTCTCATCCAGTAAGCAGGTCACCTTGTCATAGGAGGAGATCAGGTTAGTCAAACAGGACCTGCCTTTCATAAACCCATGTTGACTGGGCCTGATCACCTGGTGGTCCTGTATATGCTGCGTGATGGCACTCAAGATGATCAGCTCCATAACCTTCCCTGGCATCAAGGTCAGACTGACAGGCCTGTAGTTCCCCAGATCTTCCTTCTGGCCTTTCTTGTAGATGGGTGTCACACTTGCTAACTTCCAGTCAACTGGGACCTCCACAGTTAGCCAGCACTGCTGAGAAATGACTGAAAGCGGCTTGGTGACCACTTCTGTCATCTTCCTCAGTACCCTTGGGTGGATCCCATCCAACCCCATAGACTTGTGTGTGTCGAAGTGGTGTAGCAGGTTGCTAACCATTTCCCCTTGGATTATGGGGTCTTCACTCTGCTCCCTGTCCCTATCTTCCAGCTCAAGGGGCTGGGTACCCTGAGAACAACTGGTCTTAATATGAAAGACTGAGGCAAAGGAGTTAAGTACCTCAGCCTTTCTTCATACTTTGTCACTGTTTCCCCTTGCATCCAATGAAGGATAGAGATTCTCTTTAGTCCTTCCTTTGTTGCTAATGTATTCATAGAAACATTTTTATTGTCTTTTACAACAGTAACTAGGTTAAGTTCTAGCTGGGCTTCGACCCTTCTAATTTTCTCTCTGCATAGCCTCAAGACATCCTTGAAGTCCTACTGAGTTGCTTGCCCCTTCTTCCAAAGGCCATGAACTCTCCTTTTTTTCCTGAATTCCAGATAAAGCTCACTGTTCAGCCTGGCCAATGGTCTTCCCTGCTGGCTTGTCTTTCAGCACATGGGGATGACCTGCTCCTGCGCCTTTAAGATTTTCTTCTTGAAGAACATCTAGCCTTCCTGGAGTTCTTTGACCTTCAGGACTGCCTCCCAAGAGACTCTGTCAACCAGTCTCCTTAATAAACCAAAGTCTGCTCTTTGCAAGTCCAAGGTGGCAGTTCTGCTCACCCCCTCCTCCTCGCTTTTCCGAGAATTGTAAGTTATAATTTCACAATCACTGTGTCCAAGACTGCCACCAACCATCACATCACCCACAAGTCTAACTTTACAGATTTAAGAAAGGGACAAATTGGTTTCCAGCTGAATTTTAGAAATATGCTGCTTTTCTCGTTTCCATCCCTTTCTACCCAGTGAAAGAGGTAGGGAGGGGGAGATGAAGATGTGATGCTGTCCCAGTGCCTTGCTCAGCAGCACCTTGTGTAGTGCTGATGCAGTCCTGATGCTGTAACTTGTAATTTGCTTCCCAGATTAGGTGAAGGGACTTAAGAAACTAATGTCACTTGTGCTTGGACTTAAATGCCAGGATTTGTGTGGACTCCTAAAAGTCAGCTCTAGTACAAAGTTCACACCAGTTGTATCCTGGTTGATTTTGGCTTTTGTGGAAGGAAAGACAGAAATCCAATCAGCCATTACAAAGTCCTCATGAAGTAGTTTGCTTTGCTGCAGTGTGGAGGTGAGGAGAAGACAAGGGCCTGCTTTAACCAAGAATTGACAAAGCTGATTGACCCTTTAGGCCAGTTTAGGTTGCCTGGTCATTGTGTGGCCGGGTGGCATTACTATAATCCTGTGGTTACTGGTCTGCCCATTAGTGGGGTTTCTGGGTGGCTCCTTCAATAGTCCCTGTGGGCTGCAATGGGCTGGAATTTTTCCCTAGGAATTGCAGGTGCATGCCTGTAGTAGTGGTCTGTCACAGCTCTTCTGACTTGCCATCAACACTAAAGGGTCTTATTTAAGGTTATGCCTGCGTGATTTAACAGTACCAGAAAGCTGATTCCAACCAAGACTTTTAAACCTTGTCTTGGTACCACTGTGTTCATGGGGAGGCAGTTGCGTGTGTGTGTGCGTGGAGCAATGCCTACACAAGGATCCAGAATTGCTTTGCTGTGGCTTAGAGGGAGAGGCACATGCTTCTGGCCACACCATTAATTGCATGGCAGTTAGGATGCATGCTTTGTTCTTTACTTCTGGTGGTCCCTTCCCTCCCATTATATGAACTGTATTAAAAATAGGTGATGGAGAGGCTGACATGAAAATTAAGTTTTGGTAAAGTAAAAAGCAGTAAAAAGAGGAAAATAGCAATAAAGCCCTCTGCCTCCCCTTGCTCTGTTCTGAATGTCTCAAGTAATAAGAAGAGCAGGTATCTTTCTAGATAGGGTATGTTACCAGTGTACAGTCCACCAATCAGGCTTAAGTTAAGCAGAAGATCTGTGATTTGTAGCAGACTTAACTTCAGTTTATTGCTTAACTGGTTGGGAAAGTGAGGTCATGACAGTGAACTCTGAGTAAAAAATAATGGGGTCTTTAGATGCTTTTGGTTTCTGACACTTGATGCTGAACAAGTTAAATATTAACACCAGAAAGTGGCATTAAAGCCATGATGTCATGTATTTGAATTTCTTGGCTGTCTATCAGTGAGATGTATTCAAGCACATTAGTGGTAAACAATTATACTTGTTTAGCAGTAGATTTTTTTTTTCTTAGAAACTAAAGCATGACTTGGATATTAAAAATAGTCTCACCCTTTGAGACTAAACCAAAGAAGCAATTTCCTGCGTGAAGTTTTAACAATTCCAGCAAACTCAAGAGCCCTGTACATCAAAACCACTGGCAAAGTTCCTCTTTTCAGAATAGTAGCTGACTTATCATTTCCTTTATCTGTCACAGGAAAAAAGGGAACTCTGTTTGTATTGCAAAATAATGTTTTTTTTCCATTTTTCATTAGAGGTTATTAACCTGGTTTTTTTCATGTTGAATGAAGCAACATGTAGATTAATGCCTTCCTCTCCTTCATAATCTGCTTCATATGAGGAAGTTCATGTTTATTTTAATGAAACTATTTCCATTACAGTTAGCAATCTTAAAGCATTATATATCTAAATTTAAAATATTTTAGGTGTCTGTCTACCATAACTGTTAAAGTTTGCACAGACAATGCCAACTTAGATTTTTACTGCCTCATATCTGACTTTACAAATACAATCATTTTAAGAGTTTCCTATTTACTGTGGTGGTTTTGGTTTTTTTTTTTTTTTTGTGGGTTGGTTTTGTTTTTTTTTTTTTTTCTTTAAATGAGCAAACTGAAAAAGAAATCTGGAAACACTAACTCTCATATAGCTTCTATGTGAACTACCTAACTGTCTGGGATGGTGGCAAAACTGACAGCTTGGTGACAGTCTCAGGTTCTACTCTATTATCTTACCCAGGGTGGTCCAACAATAAAATGTGCATTTCTTAAATACCATGCCTCAGTGTTCTGTGATGACAGGAGGCAAGTGTTGATGCTGAGATCCAGCCTTTTGTTATGTTCTGGACTGGAGTGGGGGATGTCTGATAAGTTACATCCTTCTGTTTTGCAGCCTGTTTTCATTATTCTACTACTTAGATCACTTTGCTGCCTTCTAGCTGCTCTCTGCGGCCCTTGAAGGGCAGATGCACAGACACAGGTGCTGTACCTTGCCCTCTGTTGTGGGCTCTTTCCTTTTGCCATATCTCTTTCTGCACTGTTTTCTCCAGTCATCTTTCCATATCTAGTTTCTCCCATCTTCCTCTTTCTTTTCCAGTTTCTAGTTTCTCATCATTGATCTTGAATCTCTCAGTGCAGCCTCCGAACCTCCAGCCTTACCCCTCTGGGTCTTTCCCTTGGTAGGAAAGAGATTGCTTCCATTTTTGGATGTCTGGAAGTAAGTATAGGAGATACTTCCTTATCTCTCTTCTTGTGTTCTGAAACAGCAATTCACAACAAGAGAGAAAAGTGTGGGGAAGGCCCAGATCCTGTAGGAGCTGGGTTAAAATATGCCTGGAGTACATGGGTGATATGGGTTTAACTGCCAAGCTCTGGCAAGCCTCAGCAAGCAGTTTCAGGAGTCATTATCTTTGTTAGGTCAAGTAAAGAAATACCCAAAGGCATAGTAAAACCAACCTGAAACCACTTTTCCTTATTCCAGGGGTTTTTTTTAGTGATTGGGTTTTGTTTTGTTTTGTTTTAAAATGTCGTGGTGGTAATTCTCTTCTTCCTCAGCCATCTTCCAAGAAACAGTTGAACTCTTCTAAAACAGCTAAAATTTTCCAAAAATGCTGCGCTCATTATAGACATCTGGTAAAACTTCAGTATACTAACTTGGCAAAGATACAGCCAAGAGAAAAAAGTCATAGAAGGGAACTTATTGGGCAGTTTTAAATTTTATTTTTTGCTGCATATGCAGAGCTGTCTCAGTGTTGGCCTTTTGGAGCAGAGTGCTCTGCCCTGGAGTGGGTGTTGGTATGGGAGAAGAGCTATTGAACCAGGAATCCAAAATGAAGCTCTCCAAGATCTGGTATTTTCTTCAGCTTTCAAGGATTAGATAAGTGTGTGTTCTTTGTCGCACAAGCTAGGGCCTTAAATATTTGGTTTGTCGAGATGTCAGCCTGCAATCTGGGTGTGTACACCTGCTCTTTGTAAAGTAAGGCTTCTGTGGATTGCTGATCATCTGGGTTTTTATTTCATGGAAGCAATATGTAGTTCATGTACTGTGCCTTCATGGAAAAACAGGAAAAAAAACCTACACAGTAAGGAATTTACATAGAGAATACCAGAAACCAAATGTGCTTTCACTTGTGTTTTTGCTTTTTTTTAAAGTACAGTTGAAAATGGCAAGGCAGGGAGTAAAAACACACTCTTCTATGACTGGAGATTAATTATGTTAAAGATTGCTAGTAATTTGTTAGTTAAATGAACAGAGTGATTTAGTATGTATTGCCAGCTGTTTTGCCCTGCTCTAAAGCTAGGGAGCATTGATGGCCTCTTTGATACATGCATAGCTTGCTGTGATTATTCTTTCTAATGGCCTTTTCTCTTTTAAACCATGTGCAGGTCCAAAATGGTAGGAATTGCCTTAGATTGGCTCTGTCTCTGTGTTGCATCTCTCTTGAGAGTTACTGAATCTAATCTTCTGGGGGAGGTAGCCTGTCATGAATACAGGAGTTTTGCTTGCCAGCCTGAATTTGAGGAAATGAAGAATATTACTGGACATCTCAGTTATAAAGTGCTGCTTTGTTAATTTTTATGATTTGTCACTTTGTCATTGTTCTGCCATTCTTATTCTTGTGTGCTTTGTCTTTTTTTGTTTGGGTAGGGTTTGGTGGGTTTTTTTGTTGATTTGCTTTGTTCTGCTAGGGAGCTCTATAAAGCTACTGTCTCTTGAGCATTTTGTCACTCACGTTGCATTCTTGTACTGTACCAGAGTTGGTGACCATGTTCCGTCGGTGGAAGAGATGAGTGAAAGCCGCTGGCTGTATTTCAGGTGACATTGTGCTTTCCTTGATACCAAATTAACCTGATGATTGGCTTTCTTCATCTTTATAACACTAAGTGTGTGCTCTTTCTATATATGGCATGCTGCTGCTGCTTCTCCTTTTCTGCAGAGTGCCATAGACGTTCCTCAATTCTGAGTCTGTTCTGAGCTTGGAGAGTGTGCATCACACATAGTGTCTTTAGCTTAAAACAAACCCACAGAACACCACATCCTTTAACTCTGTGTATTGGTAACTAACGAAGCAAAATTAGCATATCTGGCCTGGGAAGACTTAAAAGCTAAGTCATGGATGCGGTCCTATGATTCTTAATCACACAGGTATTCTTAAGTATTCCTTGGGGTTATTTCATATAACCGTTCAGGTTGGAAGTGACTTCACAGATGATTTAAACCAGCCTCTTTGGGGATGTATTTTAAAAAGTGACAGTTAAACATTGCTTTATAGGAAGATGCTAATAAGAGTGGAGATAAACCAGAATCCCAGTCTTTTCTGGTTGATGGTTTCCAGAACTGATACACAGAGAAGAAGAAAAAAACCCTAAAACCAAATCTTTAACTGGCATCTGTAGGAGAATGTGTGTGTGTGTATATATAAACATATACAGAATATTTATGTAAAGGAAAACTCTTTAGGATAGGGCAGTGGTAAGTTTTTCACATATCCTGTCACACTTGCAGGTTCCTAGCAAACTACTAAATTTGCCAGAGATGCAGTACGTTAGCTTGTATAGAGAATCTGAGAATGATTACCTATTGCAGTCATTCTTGGCTGTTGCCATAGTAATTACATATACTAGAATGTAATAAAACCTGGTATTTTGGTAATTTGTCATCGATGTATTGCAGGGCCTTGAAAAGATCTTTGAAGTATCAGAGGAAATGGTTCCACTCATTTAAAATGACATAGTGGAGAACTTGAAGTAGTTCTATCTGGCTTATTTTTTTACCCTTCCTTTCCATATATTTAGTTTCTACTTTGTTTTCCACCATTTTCTACCAGACTGTTTAAATTACTGAATTATGTCTAAGCTCAGCATTTGAGGGATCAAATCTGAGTAATTGCTTTCCTATGTGTGATGCTGGAGTTGTAGCTGTATGATAAGGAGCAATAAGGTCAGGAGTCAGTTAAGAACAGAAACGCAATGCTTTGGTATCGGGTGTTAGGAGCTCAGTGGTAGTCCCTTTATTACAGAGCTCCTAAAGCATGAAAAACCTTTTATGCCTTAAAAACAAAAAATATTTTAGTCAGGGAGGAGTGAAGAAATATACTTAAATTGGATTAATTTTTACTGTAGCATGCTCTTGTCTACAGATTCCAGTAAACCTCCCAAGACAGAAATATAGATGGCTGAACTTTATGTACTGTCTGTACTAAAGTATTAAGGTATCTATCAAATACCAAATTGATGCCAGTGGTGGGAATAGGTGAATTTTTCGCTGGTTTTGGGGTATATGCGCATTGTTATAGATGAAAGACTGCTCATATTCTTTATCTGACATCTGCTTTTGAAGAATTACTTATTTGATTTGCTACTGGACACCCTCAGGGAATCCACACACGACTGCTGCGATGCTGCAATGAGCTTTCAGAAAGGGGAAAATGAAGATGCTTGTTGTCATCTGCACTGCCTTGGTCTTGGCTGTCCCGCAGCCAGCGTGCCCCTCAGTCCCCATCACATAGACTGTGTCTCTTCAGCAAAACACTGCTTTCAACCAGAGCTTGCTCACCTACTTTTCTGCTAGGGGGGTTGAGCAAAACACCAGAGTCATTAGCAAAGCTACCCTCTCTGTGCGCCTGATCTCTGAGAGGGGATGGGCGTAAATCAATCCAGTAACAATTTTTCGTAATTTAAAAACTGGTTAAATAAATGAGAACTGATATTGGCCTTTACAGCACATTTAAATTACAGGAAGCTCTTTAAATGTACTTAAGGATGTGAGATGGATTTTTTTTTTTTGACTACCAGAAAAACATTATGTAAAAACATACATAGAACAGCTTTACTTGTACTTTTAATTATGGAAGTAATTAAGTAAGGATGAAGTAACTAGATGCTTTCTGTGCTTCTCTTTACTGTAAAGGAGGTTGGAAAAGACTTCACTGTGTTTTGCTATTGTTTTGTTTCAGGTGATAAAGATGGGGCTTCATTAGAAACTTGGGGGCAAGGCCTGCAAAAACATGATGTTTGTCATGAGACCAGAGTGTATATACTTTGAAACTTAAACAGACAGGCTTGCAACATAAAAATAAAGTTTCCTATACAATTCATGCTGGAGTAGAGCATAAGAGACACAGTGTGCTACAAAAAGTCATGGGAATTCAAAATAGTAATGTATTTTGTGTTAATCTGTGAATTGAGGAACACACATTGAAACATGAACTTAAAAAAATGTTATTTATAGAAAAGAATTAATTAGAAATATTCCAAATATAAACTCACCTGAAGAATAACTTCGAAAAAAATTAAAAATGGACAAGTCTGTGTCTATGTACTATTTCAATATTGAAAGAAATGTCTGTAGTAAGAATTTTTTTCTACAAGTTGAACTGTTTTGACAGAGAAAAGCTCTTTTTTTCCCTCTTAGTTCAGCACAACAGTGAGCCCAAACACCTGGTGATGTACTAAACTTTTCATTGAACAGTATGGTCATCCTGCTTTGGTCTTCCCCTAAGCCCCCTTCCCTGCCTAAGGGAGTTAAAATCCCCAAAACAAATGCACAACCTTTTAAGTCAAGTAAAAGCTGATATGTTCAAATTGTTTGGTTTTTTTATGTACTGTGGACTGAATGAGTAGCCCAGTGAGTTAAAACTATTTTGGGAATGCGAGCTATGCTCATCTGGAACAAGCTTCTTAAACTCCCTGTTGATATTGCCAGCTGCACAGCTAACACAAGCATGGTTACCGTGCACGGTGTGTTGAACCTCCTCGATGTGCAGCTGGAGTTTGGAGAGGCACAAATCTTTTAATTTTTTGGATGTATTTACAAAGGAATGTGCAGTTGTATACATATTGCCATACTGCACAGATTTCCTGATGTTGCTTGCCAGCTTGATGCGTGAGACTTCGTTAGGTAACAAGTTTGTCTGCAGAAAACCGTTCTTATCATGTCTTCACTGCTTAATGATAGCCTAAGCAGTAACACCTAAGCCCTTGTAACCTTTCAGAGCTCTTTTGTGTGGTATTTTATTTTAGCATGTGTTACAATCCAGTACCCAATCTGTCTGTCCAGTGTTCCCTTAAACTGGTGAAGTGTTTTAGTTTTGAAGCTGGTCAGTGCCAATAAATTCCCAGGCTAAATGTGCCTAAGGATTATGATGACTCTGTATGTGGAAAAAGGAAGTGATGAAGAAAGAAAAGAGACTCAGTGGACTGGGTCAGCACTAGCTTTATACGAGGCTGCTGCAGGCTATCTTTGAGTGGCCTCCTGGATTTTCCCTGAACTACATTAAGTCATGTGAGACCTTGGGTTGGCTGTGAGTCCACAAGGTTGACTTAAAACTTTAGTTCAATGCCTACTTCTCTTATTCTATTGTTCTATTAGAAAGTGCTGCCTGGAAAGTTATTTGAAGATGTTCACTTTTAGTTTAATCCATACTATATTCTGTGCCTGACAGTGAATCATGTCTGGATCACTGGTTGCCTTATACAGGCACATGTCCCCGGGACACACAAATTATATGAATTAACCAGCAAGGTTCTGTTGGTTTCTGGTGATCCTCAGGGATGTTGCATAAACACCATGGCTAGAAATAGCTGATATGAAGCCTAAATAACAAAGAAATTGCACTAAACCACCTCAGTAATTTCCAAGAGAGCGAAAATGAAGAATTTAGCCACTTCAGACAATGTTTTTGTTATTCCATGTATTTTCCTACACTTATTATGCAACATGGTAGGACTAAAACACAACATGTTTGAGACTGACAATCTTACCCAACATTTGAGGTCGAAAGTTTAGGTTCTACAGGAGAGCACAGAGATTAAGGTATGAATAGGACTTAAAACTAGACAGGTCTAATCTTAACAAATAGCTACCCCCAAAACAGACCAGAAAAACCTGAACATAATTATAAGGATTAAATACCTATCTTGGACAGGAGCACTGTGTGAAAGGATGGGTATGTAATAAGATGCTCTCTAACTATGCAAGAGCAAGTAGACAGTTTCTCACTGACATATTATTCTGTAACCATATGCATCTCATACAGACCGTCCCTCACTCAGATGGGAGGCTGGACTAGGCAGACCACTTGTTAATTCACTGTGGCTGTGTTGTATTTGGTGAATGAGACTTGCAGCAAATTAATATTATGAGTCTTTATAAAGTATTTTTGTTGTTTCACACAGTGCATTAAAATCGGGGGGGGTGTGTGTGTGTGTGACTTTTTTTAATTGCATATTAGAGCTATTCTCAGGCTTATCTGGCAGCTAAGCTACTTGCTGTGTCAAATATTTGGGCTGGGTTTATCCTTAGTCTCTGATTTCTTGCTGCTGGACATGAGGGATGCTCTCAGCTGAAGAGGATGGTCACTCACCGTTCACCTTTTAAGACAAAAATAGTACTTGCCAGTGTCCTAAAAGAATTAGCAACAAAGGTAAGCATTTAAAGTTGATGCTGAGATGGACTTAAAGCTTTTATCTACAGGTAGTTGCTGCTTGAGTGAAAAAATATCTTGTTTATAGCCTTGTAACTGCAGGGGAATAATGGACATCTCTTCCTCAAACTATTCCTCAAACTATTCTTATAACCTCTCTGAATGCAGCTTTGCTGGGTGCTTAAAGTGCTTTTAAAATTCATTCTGCCCAACTTACAACATTTGCAACCCTCAGTAACACCACTTGCTTTGTTTTCCTAATGTTTCTGTAGGGTTGGGGTTGACCCAGATCAGGATCCTCCACCTACTAATGACAGCTTTCAAGTCTTACAAGGAGTAAGTAATTGCATAACTTCTCTATTAGGTTGATCTTATTTTATAGCTAAGACAAAGAACTGCAGAAGCTCTATGCATGGTTAAAACCTTTCTCTCCTAGCTGGCAAGTCAGCAATGCATTTTACTTTATAATATTCAAGCAATGCCCATCAAAAAATGTTCTGTGGTTTTGGGTGTAATACACGTTGTATACACGTGTATCAAAGGCATCAAAAACCTTCCCAGATCTACTAATATGCTCTATTTAACCATGTGGTTTTCTCTTCCCTCACCCACCCAACATGCTTACTTTTAACATCCTTACAACATAAACAGTCCTCCCCAAGAATGACCCAGAGATAATCCTCTTCTGTTCAATAAATGATACCAAATTTTGGTGTTTGGACTTGCTTAGAATCAAAGATTAAGTTCACTAATCTCAGCTCCTGTATACTGTACCACAAGCCAGATGGATTTTGCCTTTACTACCTACCACCTGTATGAGGCAAAAGGAGCACTGGAAAATTGTCATTTGTATTCAGTGAACTGTTGCTGTGAATCTTTAGTGCAGTTTTCTACGCGTCAGTAACAATCCAAGAGTTGACGTTTTCCCCTGCAACATGCTATTGGCAAACAAGACTATCAAAAAAGAATGTTGTTCACAGCAGAACACTTTTTTCCTCATCTATAAACTGAGTGAATTCTCAGGAGAAGTGAAAGGTCTGGAAAAAAACCCAAACAACCCAACATTTCCTGAGGCTTAACTTGAAGCTTCCTCTGTCCAGACTTTAGTTTACACTCTCCCAGAGTACTGCTTGACACTAATTGTTCAGTAGTACAACTGGTTGCTCATGTAGGAACTTGCTAGAGGAAGCTGAATGACAAGAAAGACAGATGGCTTTGAACCCAGAGGATGCTTAGGGTGCAAGTGTGTGAACTCTGCTTTGTAAGCCTCAGGTTGTACGATGACGGTGTCAGGCTGGCTGCAGATACAGGCACAGGATACTTGCTGTATTTGGGATAAGCTTTCTTACTACTAGTGGTTTCTCCTGCCTTTTTGTTTTTTTTTAGGCTGTACAGATAAGAGTTACTTGCTCAGGAAGCATCTCTTTTATTGCAGAAACTGCATTAGGCATCTCTGTGTTCTTTGTAGAAGCCTGTGTCCAGCACACAAAATAGGTCCTGAAATAGTGGGTTTGAGTACCAAAAAGGGTGAACTTGGTTTTGTATGTATCTGGAAGCAACTAGAAGGCCAGTCCTCAAAACAGCTTTTAAGATGAAGGCCACAGTTACTCCATAAAATCAAGGTTAGGAAGTGGTAGCACAGTAGGATCTTTGACCGGTTCAGACTGAGCTTGTCAGTATTTGAGGAATTGCTTTAACAGGAAACAGAGCATGGGTATTCTGTTCTCATTCAGTGCCTGGGTGGAAATATCTTGTTTGTTTTTTTCCGATGTAAACATAAAGCATTTACCCATTTGTTTCGCTCTTTAGCTGTGCATTGCATTCCTAATGGAGTTCATAAATCAGTTTCCTTTGGATTCCTCTTCCTTTCACCAAGCCAGATTATCAGCATGTCATAGTTAAAGAAAATATAGCAGTTGGGGGGTGAAAACGTACTAAGCTTTAACTCTTGGTGGATCATGGATTTTCTTCAGAGCAGAAGTGCACAGGGCAATTCTGTCTTGTTCTTTTCCAGTAGTTTGGAAGATGATTCATACAAGGCATTCTCACTTAATCTGTTTTCCTGTGTTTAACTTTGGTCTCTGGCCAAAAAAAAACCCAAACCAAAACACCCAAAAAACCCAAAACAGTAACAAAAGTAAAAACAAATGCAGCTGCAGACCAGCTGGTGCAATGTCTTGCTGCACAGCTAGTAAAGGGATTATATTTAACACTTCTAAGGTTGATCAAGCACTTAAGAAATTTGCATGACCTTCCTCAGTTGTGATTTTATATGGTTTCCCTGTTAAGCATGTTTCTTTTAAGGGTGATATATTTCATCAAGTTTGTGAGAGTTTATCGGGTATGGTAAATTCCCTTGTTCTTCCAAGGAAGCAATAGGCTTAAGGAAGGAACATCACATAGACCTAGATTTCAGGAAGCCAACCAAGCAATGAATAGGGATCAGTCTCAGTTATTCTAGTTCATTTATTTGGGGAGGGGGATGGGGATGAGACATCCATGAGGCTTATTTGTCAGTCTTGAACTTACTTCTGTATCCATTACTGCGCTAACTCTGTGATAAGCTTTTAGACTCAAGGGAACTTGGTAGAGGGCTCGTTAAGATAACTTGAGGGTAATGAAGAGGGCCTACTCCTTCTCTGCAGTAATTTCTGGTCTTTCTAGGGGAAGTAACCTTCTCAGTATAAGCATGTCTCTAAATAGCTTTCTTCTGCAGTCCAAGTACAGTATTGAAGTAATTTAGGGGGTTTGGACAAGACTTTATAACATGAATAATTGGAATGTATGATTTGTTTGGTTTTCTTTTTTCTTTTCTTTTTTTTTTTTCCCTGCCTGAAATAACTGAATATGTTTTATCTTATTTTTAGGATGGCCCAGATTCTGAAAGAAGGAACAGGACAAAACAGGAAAGTGCTTGGCTTTTCAGGCTATGGTATAGCTTTGACCATAAGTATCCTTTTGAAAACAAAGCTTAACTTCAAGGCATGCAAAGTTCACTTTTTTCCTTTTCCATATACCCATGTGTCGCCTTAAGCACTGGGGACTCAAACAGGAGAAAGATCAAGTATTTGATAGGTTCAAGGCACAGAACTGATGCTTGAACTTGCTGATTCAAAAGATGGACCTTTCCTTTCTCTAATGCATGGTATGTCACACTTGCTGGAGGATGGAAACCAGTCAGTTCTAGGAACTGGATGAATTTCCTTCCTAAAAAATAAGACAGCCAATTAACTATTTCATATCCTCTGATTTTGTTCCATTAATCTGTTCTCATCTTAACTGATGTTCATAGCAGAAACAAGTTTTCCAGTTCATTGTACATGTCTAAGCCCCGACTTGCTGCACTGAAGAGCCATCTGCTTTTGTGATGTAGTCCTTTTCGGAAACCCATCACTGATATGGGAAGTTCTGGAACTAAAAATCTATGTGTGATCCAGGTTATTCCCTTTACTATACCCAGAACTTCCTATGGGTGTCAAAGCAGAGAGTGCCCTCGTGTATACAGTACTGTACAACTTTTCTGATGCTATTATACTAGTTAGCCTTGTTTAAACTTCTGAGCAATTTTTGTGTAGCTGTCCCGTCTTTCATGCTTGTGGGTTTTTTTAACCTACATAGCATATTCTTAATCAGTATATTACAGAGGTGCCCTTCCTTTAACAGCTTACACTCACTTCATGGAAAATGGCAAAGATAATCTTGTGGTCATGGCAAATCACTTATACCCAAAAATTCAAAGTTTCAGATCTTGATTCCTAGTAAACTCTGGGGCAATTAAATATATGTAAATACCTGTGACAGGGCCTTAATCATGTTGCAGCTTGGATCTGAGAAGTTAGACTTTTCACTGGGGTCTGGGCCATTGGTTGATGAGAGGTTGCTGGCCTGGTTGGAGCACAGTAGTTTTCCTTCCATGTCTGTTGACTTCACCACAGACAAACCCAACACATTTGCGCATCAAGATTTCCCACCCAGGGAGACCCAGGTACAAGTGCTGAAAGCATTCAGATCCTAATAGCACTTGCCTGTTAGGAAAAAATCTGTTTGTGATTGATGTTTTCAGATGCAGTAGTATTGGGCCAAAGCTGAGAAGGCAGTGTATGTGTTTGTTTAAATACTCATAAATGTTAGTAATTTCAAGTTAACCTTTTGAGTTGTGGCTGCGTTCAATTTTTGTTCTTTAAAAAAATTTTAAAAATATTTCTGTGGTAAGAGCATGGGAGGATCTGGCTGTGGCTGACTGCTTCTTTTTCGCCTTTTTAAGAAGGAAGCAGAGTTACCCTCTTTCCCTGCCTTTTCAAAAGGGATGTGCCTGTGAACAAAGGAGTAGTTGGCAGTGCTGACTTCCCCTCGGCTGACGCTAGCACAAGTGCAGTGCCCAGCAGCTGCAGCAAGGGCAGGGAAGGGGGTGTGGGAAGTGTTAGGTGAAAATGACAGCTTAATTAGCTGTTTTTTAGTGGTGACTGTCTTTAGAGAAGGTTTTTGTGAAGTTTGCCAAGGAAACAGACATCCAGAGGCAGAAATGTCTTACTGTCTCTTAGAGGTAAAATTTTGCTCCTTCTGTTGTAAGGAGGCGTTCAGATAAACATCAGTTGGGTGGGCTTAAATTGCACATAAGGGATGACCTTTAGAATTGCCACTTCTGTGCCCATGGCTAAATGTCTAAGGTCTTTTTGCTGATGCATTCACTTGGTTTGTGGGTAGAAAGGCAGATTATGTCAAAATTCACTCTTTGCAAGGGAGCTTAACTTGAAAAAGATGCGAGTAAGATGCAATTGGCAGTGTGCTCCAACACTGGCTATTGCCTGCAGAGCTCTGTGGAGGGATAACCAGGAGCTTCATTCTTGTGGAACACAGAGTTCAATCAATGTCGTGGGCTGTTCCCTGGATATACCCACAATTGTTAAACATGAAGAAAACTGCAACTTCCATGAAGTACCACATGTCTTCTACTGGCTTTGTTTTATTACTGCTGTCTGTGTGCCATGAGGCAATATGGAAGCTGGTAGGTTAGTGTAAGGGTGAAGAGTTTATTTCTTTTCAGGACTGGGTGTAGCTGCACTGTTACTGAAGGAGGGAAGGAGGAAATATAACTCTGCTGTGGCATAATCATGCCATTATATGTTCAAGTAAACATGCTGTGCCAGGGCCTGATAAAGGGGAGGGATACATCTCTGCTAAAACAGCCCCTTTTTAACCCTACTCTTTCCCCTAAGCACACTGATCTGTTCAGATGATCAGGGAAACAGTTATACTCACAAATAGACTTGATTCTCTCTGTGCTTAGAGACCTAAGGAAGTAACTAGAATACCTGCAATATATATTTACATTTAAAATAATCAGACTGACTTCAACCAACTAAAAACCCAAAACAACCCAGCCTATAACCCTGTGGCCCTGCTTTCAGAGGATGTTTGGAAGCCTTAGCACTCTCCTCCACAGCTCTGTTCTTGTGCCACTCAAGATCAGCATGCTGCTCTGTAGCAGGGACACCTTTTTTGACTCCTGAGCATTTCCTTAGGCATATCATCAGTCTGGAGTACTAGTGTGAACAAATATGGATTTACCTGGAGACAGACCTATGAAAGGAGGTGTAAAGACACCTTCCTTTCCCACCCCCATGTCCCCTCAGTGTAATGGTCTTTCCTTTCACACTGTGTTACGTGGTTCTTGCCATACAGTTTTCCCTTTGCGTTTCTGAGGCTCTGTGTATATATGTATATGTACACTGCAGGGATGTCTTTGAGCCTTACCAGAGTGTTGCATCTCTGGCTCAGTGACCAGCTAGCAGTTCAAGTGGCTGCATTGTTTGAGGATGTTGGATGGACACTATTTCTTTATTTCCCTGTGTTGAGCCACATAGGTATGTCCCCTTGTCATGTCTAGCTTGTAATTTTTATACTGTGCTCCCATCTGCAGAGCAGAAACACCCTTAGAACTATTAACATTAAAGAGCTTGTATCTCTGCTTGCTCCTTTTGGCTCCAGAGAGCCCAAAAGCTGGAAGCATTGCAACTGCGAGGTAGCTAGTTCCCATTGCAGTATATGTGTGGATAAAGAAACTGCCCTGAAAATGATCAAGGGAAAATTGTTGGGGGGAGATGTTTTCATTTATTTTTTTTTTTACAAATGCAGATTTATTTTTTTTTCAGTAGCTGTTTTATAGACAAGTATTGAGCAGCACATTGATAGAAGGCAGAGCTATGCTTATGTATAATTGTCTTTCTTATTTTCAGTAGTGGTTTTTGAGCACTGATGTGTTTTCCTTAACTACTTAAGTTATTTAAAGCCAATTCTCACTCACAGTGGCCCTCCGTTAACTACAACTCTACCCAGCTGGTGTGGCCTGCTAGCCCGCTGTCTGACAAGTCCCCAAGTTTATGATGTAAGTAGAATGACTCAATACTTCTCTGTTGTGTGTTTTTTATTTATTTAACTTAAGTAAAGCAGTGTTTTTTCTTTTTTGGTAAAAGGTTGGCATGATATATATACTGCAAGAAAGTGCTGGTTTGTCCTAGGCAGAAAAGATTTAAGATACTCTCCTTTGAGGCAACAGCTTACGTTAGTAGAAATCAGAGATGATCTTATGTTCAAATACTATATTAAAAAAAAAAACATTTCAAGGATATTGGAAAATTACAGGCCTTAGTCAATAAACCAGTTCAGTGAATCATTTCAAAATATTCAGTCCCTTCTCAACACTTTTGGACAAGACTGTTTTCCTGTTACTGCTAAGGTTCTGTTGAGTTCTCCTTCAGAGAAGACACTGACACATATACCCATGCCAGAAAGAAATCTGGTAGAGTTTCCCTTCAGTGTTTCCACTGTGAAATTTGAGATCACATTTCAGAAACTGTTAATCAATTACTTATCTCAGTCTAGCAGGTCACTATACTGTCTTTACAGCCATGTCTTGCAATAATTAATGCTTCATTCTCCTATTACTCTTGCAGGATCCTGATACATTATTCCCATCTGTGCAGTGCTTCTGAAATCTACAACTTTCTATAAGCCACTTGTAAATAAAACCATAGTACTATGGGGAATCACTCAAATTTCCAGGTTCTCTGGAATGGTAACATCTCTGCTATGTTCAAGTAGTCTTGGACCAGATTTCGATTGATCTTTTCCTAGACAGTTATGAATTCCACTTGCAACTTTGAAATACTCCCCTGCATTTCTTTCTGGTATCATTAGCATCTTGCTTTTACCTGGTAGTAACATTTCAAAGAAATTTGAAATGTCTGCTGCCTATTTGGAGCTATTGGTGCTCCAGAGGAAGAAATTGGCCTTGTTCCCATCTTTGCAATGCCACTGGAGATCTTAAAACAGATCTAGGCTGGAAGGCATCCCTCAGACCAATTACCCTACTTGTGTGTTGCCCATGTGTCTATCTGTGTATGATCTTATAAGATTAGTTATCCAGTAACTGAGGATCTAACCAGAATGAACATGCAAGCTTTGGCTTTCATTTTCTCCACCAGTTGGCCTTTTTTTTTTTTTTTCCTCTTTACTGCTCATTCTTAGTTACTGTGGAAACTTACTCTTTAATTGGATTGGTTTTGTCACACAGAGACACTTGGTATGTTAACTTCATAATTCAAAATGCTTATAAGGCTTTATACTTTGTTAAGGTGTATAAGGTGGAACTATCACATTGTATTCTATCTTTTTGTTTCTATTTCAGTGCATTGTTGCATTAGTCTTAGGAAAGAATATAATTTTGAGATTTTATTTTTAGTTTCTTTTCAATATTTCTGAACTCTGCAGTTGTTTTACCACTTCTTGTTTCTTTGCATGGCTGGCTTTACTACATTTCTTGACTATACCATTTTATTACTGGTTAAAAAGCTGTGTAATATTTTTGCTTTCCTATTAAGTGCAGGTGAAGCAAGTGAGAGAGCCATGTCTTTGACAGGACAGAAACTGCTTGGAATAGTTGTGCTTTTGTAAGGTATTTCCAGGAAAGTTGAATGATACATTTGAGAGAATTAAAGACTGAATTAAGCAAGCAAAAAAAATTTGTGAATACTCAACAGAATGTAACATAGCTGGAAAATGTGTTTCAAAAAGAAGTAGTAAATCTTAGACAGGCACCTGAATGAGATCTGAAGTTATGAACTCTACCTAGAGAAGGAAGAGGAAGAAGGCGTACAAGTATGCGGCTGTACTGACCATACAGTTGTGTATTGTTTTCAGCTTTTGTTATCTTTTTTTTTTTTTTTTTTTTAATTCTCTGGCTTTATTACAACCTTATTTAGAACTCATTTTTACTCCTGTGAGTGGGAGTACATCCTTTTTAAATTACATGCCAAAGGGGTGTATTAAAGTCTGAAAGTCAAATAATCTTATTATATAGTCCACCTACAGCCTATTCCAAAGTATAAGACTGTGTCCTCTAAGCTTGAATTTGCATGGTGTATATGTAAGGTTCTCTAGTCAGCACGCGGGTGAGGTACAGTGGATTTGTTCCAGAGCTGTCACTACTAATCCTTGCTGATGTTCTCCCACTGCTTTAAGACTGTGCCACTAGGCTCACCATTGTTTCCCACCCAAACAGAATCTCAGTTGGAACTTAAAAGCATGAAATGCTGCTGTATTTAGTGTTTAAAACAATAATTTTCAAAAATTCATTACTATTTTACTCTCTTCGTGTTATCTGCAGTGCATGACCATTTGGTAGGGCTTTCCAATTTATCCCAGAATAATTTAGGTTACTTCATTCTTCCCTTTTGATATGTTTTTCTGAAACTTTTAGTAGTTCTGTTTCATCAACCATTTATCCCATTTGGAAGAACTATCTGGTTATCACCTGCTCTTCCTCATGAAGTATCTGGGGCTTTTTTTTTTTTCCTTGTTTATTCAAGGGTGTGTTTTGTGTCCTACACAATCCCACCTTTATTTTTTTTTTTGAGAATTTAGTTCTTCACCATACACAGTGAGACAACATGGTATGAAAGTAGAAGGACTTCAATTGTTTTTCAAAATATACAAACCCAATAAAGAAATTTCATTTTCAATCTGTGTAAGTCTTGGACGAGGTAACTCTCAAAATTGGTAAGAAAATTGTTCAGCTGTGCTTCCCCCCTCCCCTTTCTTAGTGGTTCTAGCTTCAAAACAAAAATTGTTTAGTTTCCTTGATGAATTTTAACTCATCTGACAAATAGAGAAATGGTAAGTGGAGCATCAGATTTAAGTTGTAATATATTTTGCATGCATACTACCTGATGCTTTTGTTTTGGAGCCACAAGATAAGTAACTTCTGATGCAAGTTTTGTCATTCGTGATGCCTGTGTTGTGTTCAGCACCAGCAGCATACGTGATGACTGCCATCATTTTGTATGTGTGGTGTACTTTCCATGTGCTTCGTCTTGCTTTGCCTTAGGAGGCAATAAAGATTGGCTTTGTAAGCAGTAATTCTAAATAAGCTTTAGCTGTTTTAACATCTCCAGCACGCATTCTTAGGAGCATGAGCAGATTTTACCACAAATGGACAGAATGCTGTGAGGTCCCTCAAGGTTATGGTCAGTACATCAAAGCAAAATTCAGTCTTTTGTAGCGTTTTGGATTTTGGGTATTTAGCCATTCTAGTTTGTCAGTTTAAGTAGTGAAGTTCAGACGTATGTTTTTCGAGTGAATTGAAGCTATTCCTGCAGAACTGTAGGGGATTGCAGAGGCCAGTTTAGGGTTATTCTTGGAAGAATTTCAAGTCTCTGGGGATCTACTTGGATACATTTCCTGTCTGTCTTGAAAGAATTGTTCATGCTGCATGAAGCACAGTAGGTTTATTCACCCATCCTCTGCCTGCAAACATAGCAAATCCATATACTACATGGGATTGTTCATGGATGTTCTCTGGGGAAATACATGAAAAAAATTGCCTGCTGCTTGCAGTGCTATTCAGAAGTGAAATAAATAAGTGGAACTTGGCTCATACAAGGCAATGTTTGTTCACTATGTGCTGAGAAAGCTCAGTGTTTTCTCTGGAACTGATCATGTTTGTGTACATGCAAGTATAGCCTGGGACAAACCAGCAAAGACCGAGTTAAGACTATGTCATACACTGTGGCCCTCTCCTTTCAGTATCATGCTTCTAAGAGCTTTTCGGCATTCTGGGGAAGCTCACGTGTAGTGTGTGTTCTTACTTGTTTCTTATCTGATAGGTGGCTGCAAGGATTTGCTATTAAATAGCATTGTGGAGACAGGAGGTACTTTGGGAGCTTGCTGCAGTTGCTTCACATGTGGCCCTGGTATCGCAATACCTCCTGGTGCGCTGTTAGCCTTGCCTTCCCTTCCTTGGTGCTTCTCCAAGGGCAGACACCACGAAAGGCAACTTGTGATAGAGCTTCTCAGCTTCTTCAACTTCTTAAAACATAACCAGTCCACAGTCACAAACTGCCTGCTTCTTACTCGGTTTTCTGCATTTCGTCTTTATTTAAATGTGTCTTCTTCAAAAACAGAATATATAGGAATATCAGATTTTCTTAAATAGCCAATTATTTTGTATACCTTTTTTTATCATCTTGGCTTTTGTCCCTCCAACTTTCACTTTTTTGGAATGGAAAGCTTGGAAAGGCTATTTCTGCCAATTATGGCTGAACCCTTTAGTTTCTGCCTTTTTTTCTTTTTAAGATAGTGACAGTAGTTCAGTGTTTTCTTTGCAATCAAAGAAAGCAAGTGTCCTAAACTGCACTTGCTCTTTGAGAACAGTGCTCTTTATCACAGTAACCCTGTCTCTAATAAGCCATGATAAATTTGGATGCCATGAAGATTCTGATAAATTAGCATTCGTTCAAAGTAGGGCTTGTCTTGCACCCAATGCTGAACTGCGCCATTTCTTTCGTGGGTTTTGGTAAACTCCTGACACCTCCAGTTCCATTAGTTAAATATTCTGTATCATCTAGAGGCTTCTGCTGCTTTATTTTGGCTGATTATCATTCTGAAAAAATGACAGAAAGCTTTCCCAGGAAGTTTTATTTAGTCAGGCACTGCATTCTATATCATGGACAGGTTAATCAGCAAGTGCCCTGAACTCCTGTTCTGCAATACAGGTAGGGCTTTCTGATTAGGCTGGTCACAGGCATCCTGTCTCTCACAGCCTGGGCCCCCCTTCCCTTGCCAAAGTGAAAGAAAAAGATGTATTTTGAGAATGTAGCCTGATCGGTATCCAGTCTACTGAGGACAAAAGCAATACACACACCTAGATTTTAACTCTTTCTAAGCAACATGGAGCTATTCACATGGGGAAATAATTGCTTTCAGTTGCAAGGAAGCAAGCTTATAGTACTGATAGAATTTTCTTCAGATATGAGGAAGTCCCATTTTCTGACCAGTTCAGCTGTTTTGCCTTTTACCAAGACCACGTTAAAGAGAAGTGAAACATGGTGCAATTGCTTGCTGTTGTATTATTCTGTGTAGAGAAATGAAGTGTTTTGTTATACTTAATCATTTTCTAGTCTCTGACCATGTATTTCATCCCATCTCTGCTAAAATAAAATCACAGCATTTTGTGAGCCAATTCCTTAAATGATTTTGAAAAGAAAACATATCAGAACTAGTTACAAAACTATGAAGCAAACACTGTCTTCTATCAATCTTTGGTACTTTTATAGCTCAGGAGCATTCCTAAGAATTAGGTCAAGTAGTTCTCTATTTACTACCAGGTAAGGCTAAGCAGATAGTTTAAAGGAGTGTGGCTAGTTTCCAATATGGAACAAAAATTTGTTGAGGAAATGTTGAATATAAAGAATTCGGGCCTAATGAGTTCTTATGAGTTTGCATGAGTCTTTTGCTAATGAACTTGACGAGTTAGCAACAGATGTCACTGACTTGGTATCTGGAGTGACTTAATTGAGTGTGGTCTCCAGTCTTTTTTCCTGTACTGTCTTCTAAATTGTCATGCAAAAACCAGTGTGTACTACTTATCTCTTCTGTACTTCTGGTAAACTTCCAGTGCTATTAAATCCCTGGTTACGTGTTTCATAATTGAGTTTTTGGATTGAGGTCCCCCTCATCTCTCCACAATAGCAGTAGTTACACAGGGATCAGTAAGCTGATTTGCAGGCACTGGGTTCAAGGTTATTTTTTAGCATTTCTTAAGGTGGAACTTTACCGCTTACTGGTTCTATATTGACACATAGATAAACTTTTCTGTTCAGTTACCTTCTTGGCAAAGACCAGATGTTGTGCAATGTACAAAGATTTTTATTTTTTTTTTTTCCAGAATCAAGAACAGCTTAGAGAAGAGGATTCTGATTTTATTCTGAATGATGGTGACCTTACTGTGACATATGGTGATACAACAATAACTGCAAACGGTTCTTCTGGCCCCCATACAGCAACCACTAGCCTTGATGGCAGGAGAACAAAAAGTAGATCAGAGGAAGCACTGGAATGTGATTTGGGAGCAGCAGATCATGAAGTTACAAGCAGGGGTACCCGGCTAGTATTTCCTCTGGAAGACAATGCATGATTACTGACTCAGTAAAAATAACTCTTGCTCTGTGGATGGATCAAGGAAGACTGCAGGCCACTGTGTCACTTGAGGTGGGGATGTTTATTTAAACAAGTTAACATGCATAAGTGGTTTTACTAGGTTCTGAAGGTGTCACCTATTTTTTACTCAAGATGCTGACAGTGGGGTTTTCTAAATGTCTGAAAATAGATGAATGAGAAAACTGGTCATTCTCCTCTTTTCAACCACATATTGAATCCAAGTATAACTAGCATGCTGCAAATGTCTCGTTCAGCTGCAGCAGCTCTCTCTGAAAGAGAGGTACATGAAAATGTCATAGACCTGAGCTTGTCTTGGCTTAGCTTGGGAATGTGGAAGAAGAAATATAAACATGATGATTATGAGATAAAAAAGGATGTGTGTGTATCTGAATGTGGGGAGATCCATTGTTAATTTCTCTCATGAGGCTGAGGAAACTGTAAAGTAAAACGGGACAGTACGTTAGGACTACAGGTGCATGAACGCAAGACTGGGGGGAATCTGTTACTGCAAGCTGTACTTAATGCATTTCAGGGAAAAAAAGGGAAAAGATTACTTCACTGGCCATGTGTTTAGGAAGGCAATGAGAGCTACTTGTCCCTTTAGCTTTGGACAACTTGACTATTCCTATTAGCCTAACTTATAGTGCCTCAAAGAAAAACATACAGCTTCCTGTGGTCTGAGACTTACCTGACCCAACACAAGCCCAGAGCCAGGCTCTCTTGGGTAGAAGTCATGAGGTAAAACTTTCTCTCCCTTAAGATTCTTAAAATCAGATGAAGATAGTTGGAAACATATCCTGGGATGGGGAAAACTGCAGATAAGAGGAGGAGGAGAGGGTGGG